CTCCAGCATTTCTACACTAGAACATACCACAGGCCTGGTGGGGAGCTTAAACATGGCCTTCCCGTTGCTCCAGGGACCACACCAACTCAGGTTCCCTTCCTTGGATGGCTGTTCACCTAAAAATAGAAGGGCCGACTTTATTACCAGCAAAAATGGGTTTATTTGGGAACAGCAGAGAAATACAAACCAGGACAAGCAGAGCATAGGCAAGTCAGAAGAACAAGGGAGAGGATCACTTTGTATAAAGGAAATTAGAAGTTCAGAAGGGCTGTTATAAACATCAAGACCCGTGGAGTAAACTGAGTTTGAAGCAAAGTGGTTTTCATTGGCTGAGCTGTGACGGTCTCTCATTGGCTGGGCTGTTGCCGGGGGAGGAAGAAAACCTTCCTCCTTCCTGCCTGGGGAGTAAAGTAGGATCCACCTGCCAGGTCCCTCCTTCCCTGTTCCAACTGCAATCGAAGAGTACTAGGGCACGAGCGCCTCCTGCTGGCCTCCCTACTCCGTTTCACACAAGATTTCCTTGGGGTGCCTAGGTGGCTCAGTCGGTTAAGTGTCCCATTTCGGCACAGGCCATGATCTCATGGTTCATGGGTTCGAGCATGGCATGGGGCTCTGTGCTGACAGCTAGCTCAGAGCCTGCAGCCTGCTTCAGATTCTGTGTCTCCCTCTCTCTGACCCTCTCCTGCTCACACTCTCTCACTCTCTCTCTCCCAGAAATAAATAAAACATTTAAAAATTTTTTAAAAAATATTTCCTTTTATTAATTTTCACAGGGCCATCTGTCTGTTCCTCTTCCCACATCTCCCCTTCCCCCTAAGATGCCACCATCCTTGCTGGGTGGCTCCGCCTCAGGCACTGTTGCCTGATCCCATTGGCTGTCACTAGTGAAACAGAGTTGACTTCACTGTATGTGTGTGGTTTACAAGGCACACTACTTTCTCAAGAAAGAACTGCCTGGGACCTCTTCTTCTAGAGGGAGATTACGGTCTGGAACTACAGACACAGGTGCCTTCTGTCCCTGGAGCTGCAGCTACTAGGACCTGGGGGCGCCCAGAGTCCGGCGCGGGCAAGCAGGAGAAGAGGAGAGGAGTGGCAGTGTAGCTGAAGAGTCACCTGTTGAATGGGGGGGGGGGGAAGAAGGAGTGAATAAATAAGCATGCTCTTGATAAATAGTTAATGACAAAATAGTAAAGATAAAGTACTATGGGGCAAAAATAAGACACATAATTCTATAACCATAGTTATCACAATTTAGAAATCTCACATCAAAAGCAAAAATATATATATTTCCTTGTTTTTTACAATCTTCGGCACTTCCTACCCCTTCACTAGATAAAGACTATCCAGCCCTCCAAAGGACTTAATGCCAGTTGTCACAACGGCTACTGTTTGCCAGCTCAGGCTCATGTCTGACAACTCTTCAAGGAAAAGTGGATGCACTCCATTGAGGTAGAGAAGGCTTCTGAGCTCCTTCTTCATACTGCATTGCATCTGGGACTTTTTCTTTGCTGCCCACTATTTTAGTGATCAAGTTTTATGTTTGGGGAAAGATGGGAGAGACAGCCTGGGTCCAACTCATTCTTTCTGAAATCACTTTAGGGATCAAATTCAAGATCAACTTCCAGGTTCAATTTTTAAAACCCACCCCTCACCCCCACAAATCCTCAAATTATATATATTAGATGTATAAAAAGACTATAGGAAAAAAAAGACATAACAAGTATTTATCTTTGGTTAATAGGTTTAAATAATTGTATTTTCTTTTTCATACATTGCTATATTTTCTAAACCTTTTGTAAGATTGTAACCTTTTTGCAATCAGATTTAAAAGTCACAATAAATGTCTTGTTGCTTTTAAGTTTATTTCTTTTGAGAGAGAGAATGAGTGCACTCACGTGCAAGCAGGAGAAGGGAGGGAGAGTAGTAGGAGAAAATCCCAAGTAGGCTCTGCGCTCAATCTCACATGACTTGAGCCAAAATCCAAGTCATTGTTATTTCTTTTTTTTTTTAATTTTCATTTATTCCTAGGAGAGAGAGAGACAGCGCTAGCAGGGGAGAGTCAGAGAGAGAGGGAGATACAGACTCTGAAATAGGCTCCAGGCTCCGAGCTGGCAGTCAGCACAGAGCCCGACGCAGGGCTCGAACCCACGAACCGCGAGATCATGACCTAAGCAAAAGTCGGATGCTTAACCGACTAAGCCATCCAGGCGCCCCTCCAAGTCATTGTTATTTCTTAAATGCCTATCAAATGTTGCCTCCTCCAGGGGTTGTTCCGTGACCGCTCCAAGGGTCCTCTACCGTTCACTGGGAACACTGGATTTTGACCGCTTGCTTATCTATCCCCTGATAAGACTTGAAGATCTTGAGGGAAGAAACTGATTCTTCAATGTCTGAGTCCTCAGGGCCTACCTAGCACACCCACTAATCATTTCCAAAGGTTTGTGGATCAAGTGAAGAGCTCAAGTAAGTAGGAGTGTACAAACTCTGGTCGCTCTCATTCTAAATTCAGTTGCATCTTCCCTGGGACTAACAGAACCAGGATTTTCTCCACCCATGACTGTAACCTGGGGCCTGGGCCAAGCTTGGGAAGCATACAGCAAGATTTCATAGAAGTGCCCCCTGAACAGTCAGGGCCAGGGTTGCATGAACGTAGCGTGAGTGAGAGCTGAAATTCACAACAGGTTTTCCTACGCGCGCCTGGGTGGCTCAGTCGGTTGAGCGTCAGACTTTGGCTCAGGTCATGATCTCACGGTTTGTGGGTTTGAACCCCGCGACGGGCTCTGTGCTGACAGCCAGCTCAGAGCCTAGAACCTGCTTCAGATTCTGTGTCTCCCTCTCTCTCTGACCCTCCCCTGCTCACGCTGCCTCCCTCTCTCTCAGAAATAAACTTTAAAAATCATATTTAAAAAAAATCCCACCAAAACGGGTTTTCCTAGCAGGAGCCAAGGATTAGTCACATGGTGGCACTTAGAGGATTCCCCGAGTCTGCTCATTCCTTTGGGATCACTCACGCCTCCCAGGACCTCCCCTGGGAGCAAAGGAAAACCCAGGACTTGGGAGTTTTCCATCAATAGCTGCTAGCAGTTCGAATTTAACCCTAACCACAATTAAAGTAAATGGGGGAAGGGGGAGACACCAAGCATCTACTGGGAAACGCTTAGGTTTTCTCTTAAGTTTCTTCCAGAAACTTCTCCTAAAGGGCTTTGAGAACCAAACAGGCCAATTACAGGACAAAAAGGAGGTTTAGAAACTTCTCAAGCTGAATTTTCCATCGCGTAAAGCCATCCACAGCGAGGGGTAGCCCCCTTGTGGAACAAAGGGCTTGTATGGTTGCTGACGAGCACGCAGCACCTGCACACACACACACACACACACACACACACACACACACACACACACACCCTGAGGGACAGGCGCGGGCAGGGATCCGGCTTCTCCGCCGCAAGTAGGTGGAGCGGGGCGCAGGCCCCAAGACCCTCCGGACTGACATCCTGGGCCTAACGGCGACAATTTTGCGGCGGTTGGGACTCCATGTGGCCCTCCCCGCAGTATCATCTAGAAATTAATTCCTAGACCGGCAGGTTACACCCGGTTCTGAGCCAGCGCGCCCCACCCGCAGAGCCGCTGGATTCTTGGAGGGCTGCGCCTTCCCTCGGTAAAACCGAACCCGAGAGGAAGGGCACGGCCCGGGGCGGGGATGTCCTGAAACATCCGCGAGCCCTTGAAGGAAGGGACGTTCACAGGACGATCTCGGCCGAGGTGACAGCGGGCGGAGGCCCCGCGGCACCGCCTCGCAGGGTGTGTGCCCGCGCGGGGCGCGCGGGGACAGGAAGGGGAGGGCGGGGAAGGGGTGGGGTGAGCGGGGCCCGGACGCCGGCCCAGGCTCCTCCTGCCTCCCCTCCCCTGCCCTCCCCCCTACTAAGGCTCCCAGTCCGCCGCGCTCTGCTCACTGGCCGCGCGTCCCAGCCGACCGAGCGTCCCCGCCGCGCCCCAGGCCAAGGTGAGTGGAGCGCGCCGCCCTCGGCCCCCCGCGCGGGGAAGCCCCTCATCCGCGCTCGGGCTTCGCGAGGCGTCCGGGCGCCGGGGTCCGCTGGGTGCGCGCCGCTCGGCGCCCCGGACCACGCCCGGGGAGGCTGGCAGCGCCCCTGCCCGAATCCTCGCGGACTGGAGGGGTGCTCTTGTCCTTCGTTCCCGCACCGCGGTGCCGATGCCCGAGGCCTCTGCCCTCTGCTCGCTTTCCGGCTACCTCTCCACACTCCCACCTTCCTTCTTTTCCACTAGTCACCGAGTTATCCGAACCCCCGCTGCGCGCCCCGTCCTGGCCGGCGTGCGGGCTCCGGCTGCAGGCTGACCTCGGTCCAGATGTGTGCCGCCGCCTCCGGGCTGGCCGCCAAGGCAGCTAGCAGAGTCCCTTCGTAAAAGGCACTGCTCAGCCCCTCGCCCAGATGTTTCAGGTTGGGCTTCCTGTTGTCTGTCTGCTAGACAGGAGAGGGGGAGGTCTCTTTGTTTTCATCATAAAGCTTGGCTACAGGGAGAGGGGGCGGGGAGAGGGGAATATATGAAGGGATTTCTCTACTCAAAGGGTTTCTTTCTTGCGATCTTAATTAAACAAGTGGAACTCTAAAGAGGGGGAAGAGCAGGCTTGATGAAGGACCTCCCAAACCAGATTAATCTGGCCCAGTGCAGAGACAGACAGACCGGCCCTTGGTACCTGGTCACAACCTAGGAGCTTGGCCACAGGAATGCGGCTTCCTGCGGCCCTGGACACAGCTAACTGTGCATTTGGACTCCAGCTAACTGAAACGGGGCTCTGGCGTGCAGGGTGGGGGTGGTGAGGAAAGTAGAGCAGTTTACAAGCTAGGCAAGCCAAGCCCTAGCCCAGACTCTGGAATACATTAAGCCCACCCCCCACCCCCCCAGGGGGAGCTGAGAGCATGGTGCAGGGCGTGGTTAGCACAAAGCCTCCCAGATTCTCCTGGTGCAGGCCGGTGACTCAGCTGTGAGACCGTGTGGGTGTGGTCCAGGATGGTTCCAGATACTCTCTGCGGATGGCCAGACGGAACACTCGCTGAAGGAAAAGGGAAGCGTGCCATCTCAGAGGGCATTTTCCAAGAGGAAGTGAGTCACACCGGGACCCGCTGGCAATCTGAAGGGGAGGTTTCTTGACTGAACTGTGGCTGAGGGCAGCGATTAGATTGGCAGGGCCATGGGAAGACCAGCGCCGTTGGGCCACGGGCCCCAGTGCCTGCAGGCGGGCGGCTTAGCTTCACTCTGACGTAGCTCTTCTGTCAAGAGGTCTGCGGTGGTAGCTGCAGGTTTTCCCCCCTGCAGCTTGAGCTCCAACCGGCAGCAGTGGGTCTTTACACCCTGTGTTTCAGGTGACGCTGGGGTCAGGGAAACGCCCACGGTGATCTCTGCCTCCAGCCTGTTTCAGCAGATTGCAAAAGATAATACCCGAGGCTGGGGCAGAAACGAGTTCGAGTAACTCAGTTGAAATGTCTTCATCCTTCCTGCCCCCCCAGATTCCTATCCTGTTTCTAGTTACTCGCCTCTCCTAAATGATACGTGCCTGCCTTGACAGCTGGAAGCTACTTTCTTCATCTGACCCACCATGTGGAGTTTCTTATTTCAGTTCTTCAAATTTTCTTAAAGGTGCACTGGACATAAAGTACACGATTTCTAGGGGATGCTTTTCCCTGGCTTCTTCTGCAAACGGTATCAGAGGGGCCGTTTCCTCCTCCTGTGCTTGGCCTCTAACCAGCCTCTTAAGCAGCCACCCCAGTGAGGTCAGGCCTTGGGCTGGGTGGAGCTGAAACTGGGGGCCTTCCTGCTTCCCAGTGACAGCTCCAAAAATGTGGCTTAAGAGCACTACCCACTTGGTATGCCCTTGGACACAGTCCAGTCTTTCAAAGTTGAGGGAAACAATGGAATCCTTTCAGGTTATGATGTATAAGTTAGCACTCTGGGTGCGGGGAAAGCTGAAATGAAGTTTTAGCATCTTGCTTAAGTTTCTCATTTTCCTGTGGATTTAATTGAGGAATCTCGTATCAAGAGTAAAAAGGATGAATTCACTTATTTTTTTAAGCAATTTTCAGCTCTTCCTACCCCTTCACTAAGTAACTACCACCCAACCCACCCCTGGATTTGTTGCCACAATGGCTATTGTTTGCCAGGTCATGCTGATTGTCTGACAATTCTTCACAGAAGCCTGGATGCACTCCATTGGGGTAGAGAAGGCTTCGGGTTCTTTCTTCCTATTCCATTACATCTGGAATTTTTCCTTTGCCGCCTACTTTTTTAGTGAGCAAGTTTTATGTTTGGGGAAAGGTGGGAGAGACTGCCTGGACCCAGATGCATTGCCTCGACTCTTTCTTTCTAAATTCTCCTTAGGGATCAAAGCCAAGAACACCTTCTGTGTTCAATTTAAAAAAAAAATTTTTTTTCTTTTCAAAATCTCCAAAGCAAAAGGAAGGAAACCCCAAACACATTGTAAATAACAGATGTTTGTTTTTACTGACACCCTGCCAATTATTTTCTGGGTGGGCTGTAAGAAAACTAGGGTATGGACAAGACACAGAAGAGCAGAGTAAATCAGGCCTCTTGATCTTTAGAAGTGTCCTTTTTGAAATTACCGTCCGGATCCGGGCACGGATCCAGAGCAAACATTTGGGATTGCTCGGGAGCAAACACTTTTCTAAGGAGGACTCGGGTCCCTGCTACTCCCAGGAGAATCAAAAATGTACATTACTGTCGATTTCATTCTTCCCAATTCATTGAGCAGGCTGTGAGGGCAGGATGCTAGCTCCTGGGACCCTGTTCAAGGAGCCCACGATCTAGTGGGAACAAACAGAAACACAATTAACTAGACTTTTTAAATAGTATGCCATTAGCTGGTGAACTCCCCCAAAGGCAAGCACCATGGAGAGAGAAAAAGAGTGTGTGTGTGTGTGTGTGTGTGTGTGTGTGTAAGTGAACGTACCAGCCTAACACCAGGACATGCACAGTAAGTGCTCATTTTAAGAGGAGAAGAAATGGAAAGTTTAATTCCCATCACTGACTAAATTTATCAGGAGTCCAGAATTCTTTTCTATAAAGGGGCACCTGAGTGGCTCAGTTGGTTAAGCCTCCGACTTCGGCTCACAGTTATGATCTCACGGTTCTTGAGCTCTAGCCCCACATCAGGCTCTGGGCTGACAGCTCAGAGCCTGGGACCTTCTTTGGATTCTATGTCTCCTTCTCTCCCTGCCCCTCCCCATTTGTGCTTTCTCTCTCTCAAAAATAAATAAACATTAAGAAAAAATTTTAAAGGAAAAAAAAAGACAACTACACAGAGAAAGACTACAGAGGTCTGAGCCTCCAGCTTCCCCAGGCAAACAGATAGGGGGGATACACAGACATCAGAATAAAATGGCTCAATAAAAAATGAGAGAATGATGAGGTAGTTATAGCCTGTGGGGCTCACAGTGAGAAACAAAACACAAGAAAACAACAGGAGCGAGGAGAGAAAAAGAGAGAAGTCCTATTCAGGGTCTGGCCAGACCTGTTTGGCAGGACACGGTTTTTTCGGCACTCCTGGAATGTGCTTCTGTACCCTCCTGTTGCATTCACAGGCAGCCCTCCGGGCCCCTTCCCCAGCTCTTCCCAGCCTCTCCCATCTTCTGCTGGGCTCTTAGCCACACGGTTTTCAGTCCAGACCTTGGTGCTCACACCTGTACCTCGGGTCCTGCCAAAGGGCTTCTCTGATTTATTCATTCACTCATTTAGCAGACGCTTATTTTGTGGTTCATAGAACGATTCACGGTTCTTGACCTAGAAGATCTTCCGTCTGAGAGGCCAATAGGAAACGGGGTAAATAGATAGAGTGTTTCGACTGCAGAGAGGACACGGCCATCCTCTGGGCCGCAGGCCCAAGCCCCCCACTGAGGGTGCGTCAAGCTCTTGCCCAGGAGCAGAGCATGTCGGGTAGCTGGGAAGATCCAAGTGCCACATTCAGATCCCTGAACTTGCTACTTCAGCAACCAACGGTCAGCCCTACCGCCTGCCCCACCCAGGACCGGAGGGCCACTGAGTCCGTGGGCGGGCTGGGCTCATGGGCAAGCTCGGTGACTCACCCACTGGCCGAGAGAACATTCTCATCATGACTGTCCCCCCTTTTGCTTCGTCTTACTTTAAAGCTAGCGCGCTGTCTCCTCCTTCAAAACAATAATTTGCTTGTTGCCCTGGTCCGAGCTCTCCAGGCACCGTTCGCCAGGAGACCGTGGGCCTCGCCTCTGGTGTTCAAAGTCGGTTATTTCACCTTCGTGAACTTAGATTCCCGGCTAGTCGCTGTTCTGCATTCTCATTTCAAAAGGCCTACTTGACAAATAGGGAGTCACCTGGGTGCTGTGCTCTCGGCCCATCTGCGGAGCCCTGAGCAGTCACTCAGGAAGGCTGGCCTCACTCTCTTGAAGAACATCCTCAAGGGTGGCCGAGACTTCTTCTTACCTCCAATGTGTATTTCTTACAAGTTCCCAAATCGGCCCGTTCCCCTATCGTAGCGGCCCTTACTCTGTGTGTCCCCTTTCTTTGTCCTCTGGGTACGCTTTCCTTCTGCTCTGTCCTGTGAATAAGGTGAGGTGGGTGTCTTTCTCGCAGCTTTGGGAACTAGCTGTGAAGCACCCTCCTGCTCTGAGCTTAGACACAGGTATTTTTATACCTCTGGTCGCTGACTCCCTTCCTGAGTTGTTTCAGAAGGCGGGTGGGTGCCCACATCTTTCTCCCCTAGGTGACTCATCCGGTTCAGTTCTCTTACATTGCTGGACTTCCAGAACAGTCCAGGCAAGGGCAGCTCTATCTCAGCATTGAGGATCGCCCTCTGAAACCACAAGGGCCGCGTAGGAAGACAGAAAAGGGCGTGGCTCCCCCGGGAATTCATCTCACAGCAGACGCTGAAGCACTAATTTGCTGATCTCTCCCAGAGAACTGCCTTTCGGATGAATCATCGCGAATTCTCTCGGCGTGCTGGTTCCTGCACACTTTCCTGGGGATTAAGGGGGTAGAATTTACAATTCCCTGAGTGTGATTACTCAGTCCCTGGGGTCACCAACTAACTCCACCTTCCCTGTAAAAGGCAGCATTTAGGAATCCGCGTTCAACTGTTAGCAGGAACTGGACTGAAATCCACAGGGAAAGGCGCCAGCCTCTCCTTTGACCTGTGCTCAAAAACCTATTCTTCGGGGTGCCTGCGTGGCTTAGTCGGTTGAGCATCCGACTTTCGCTTAGGTCATGATCTCGCGGTTCGTGGGTTCAAGTTCCGCATTGGGCTCTGTGCTGACTGCCAGCTCAGAGCCTGGAGCCTGTTTCAGTCTGTGACTCCCTCTCTCTCTGACCCTCCCCTGCTCACGCTGTCTCTCTCTCTCTCTCCTAGAAATTAAAAAAAAAAAAAAAAACATTAAAAAAAAAACACCTGTTCTTGTGAGGTGTTTTTGTTTTGTTTGGAGTGGTATATTACAGTCTCCGTTCAAGTTTACCTGCTTTCTATCCACTGGTGATCTTGGGCATGTTAGCCAAGAGTACTCTGTTCTGGCCGAAGCATTCCTTCCAATAACGCCAGAATTCACCGAGTTCCTATTAAGCACCAGGCGCTGGGTCTTGACGTAGCTTATGCCCCCAGATCATTATACGTGACTGTAGTGATCTGATATGCTTCCCTTTCCCTCCTTTCAAGTCCTTTCTGATGGAAAGTTCTTGCTCTCTGTACTTCCTACCAAAAACCAGGCCCCCAAAGGAGTTAGAATATATTGTTACCTGTTCCTTTTCAAGAAACTAGATAATGAGCTTCGAGTAGCTTTGAGCAATGGCATTTTACTGCCAGAGATGCAAATGTCTGCGCTGCAATCAATGACAAGTTCAGACCTTGAGTAAGAAATACACGCCCGGCAGACAAAATTCATTTGTAAATGGATTTCTAAACCCAGACTCACACTGAACCAGGTTACCTAGTTAAGCTTGGAGGGTTGAAGTTTTCAATATTAACCAGGCTTGACGGTGTGAGTGGTTGGAATCAGCCTGAGTCCCGTCTTCCAGCACCAAGAGGAAAGAGGAAATGAAACGCCTGCTCTTTAGTAGGTGCTTTGTCCCTTACACAGACGATGGAGACCTTGCTTTTCCAAACGATTAGGGTTTTCATTCCTCATTAGGTGACTTATGCAGAATTAGTGGGCAACTAGGCAAATTCCTCATTCAGAGCACCGATACCTGAGGTACCTGTTTCCATCAGCGGGGGGGGGCACCTGGGGAGAACTGGGCCTTAAAGTCCTTGAACTTTAGAGCCGAAACGGGTCTGACGGATGATCTACTACCCATCTTCCTTCTGGTTACCTACAGAAGACTGGCATACGTGTGGCTGAAAAGTTAACGTAAATTCTTCCTTTACGTCTTTTAAAAGGTTTCAACAGACCTCACCAAAATGCCGTCTCAAATGGAACACGCCATGGAAACGATGATGTTCACGTTCCACAAGTTTGCTGGGGACAAGGGCTACTTAACGAAGGAGGACCTGAGAGTTCTCATGGAAAAGGAGTTCCCTGGATTCCTGGAAGTAAGTGCTCAAAGGCTCAGAAAGAACCAGACAGGAAAACCAGGGCTTCTCTGCCCTGGCTGCTTTTCCTTCCTCTTCCCGTCCCTTCCCTGCAGAAGCCACTAGCAGAAAGGTGTCTTTGTTCATTTATGTATTAAACATTATTGAGTGCCTACTGTTTGTAAGATACTATAGGGAAAACAGAAGGTAGAGAAGATGCAGTTCTTGCCTTCAAGGGGCTTATAGTTTGGAGTTGAAGTAAGGCCTCACACGAATCACCACGCGACAAAGCTGGTCACCATATCCACTGAGCCAGAGTCACGGGAGAAGAGCCTCTTCCCAGGGAGTCACCAGCCAGGAACTGGCCACCTCAGGTCGTGAACCTGACACTGGAGATGTCGCACTCTGGTCACAGCCACTCTGAGCGGCTTGTGTCTCTTAAATCCCTTTGGATAAAGGCTTTTAAAAATATTGTTCCTATTCTATAAAGGAACAGTGTCAAGCATCTGCTGAATGAAGGCCAAGCTTCACTCCAGAAATAACTGCTTTTCACATTGAAAATTTTTTAATGAGATTTTTAAAAAATGCCCCGAGAACACAGGAGCACAGCTTGAAAGATCGAGGGCTCCATCAAGACTGGAAGAGGACTCTGCCACCAGCTCAGACACCTCACTCGGGACATTAGGACACAAAGCACAAAAGTCCTTTTACATCGTAGGCCCTCAGGACACGATTGTTGCATTTACCGGAAGGCAAAACCTTACTTGACAAAAGATGAGCGGGATATGCAAGCCCCTCTGACCTTGCACTACTGCGCTTGGTGCAGAAGATGACGTCAGCCTCTAATGGGGGAAGGGAGATGATGGTACAAGGCTGGGTCCTATCTCTTGTCCAGTGCCTGGTGTAGAGCACACTAGTCAGGCCCCCGACTCCTGGCTCAGTGAGCAGGGTTTTACGGTACCGATTCACGTGTCATCAGTACCAGCCAAGAAAGCGGGTATGACGCCTAGCTATGGCCTCGCAGCCGCAGGTACCACGCTGCTGCCCCTGAAGGAGTCAGAACATGCGGGTGCTCTGCTTTTGTACCTCCTCTGGTTTAGCTCCGACCAGGAGCTAAAATGCCTGGCCCTGCCCTCGCACTGGGCAGGTTGCTTTGGCTTTCTGGGCCTCAGTTCCCGCCCCTGAAAAATGAGAGGGCTGGACAGGATGACCTCCATGCCTCCACTTTCTGTGCTTCTTTCAGGCAAGCACAAAATACAAGGACATGTGCTCATTGTAAGCCTGCCCATCACACAAAGGCATTCCCCACGCACTAAATCTTTGTGCTTCTTTTGTTTTTGGGGTTTTTTTTTATGTTTATTTAGTTTTGAGAGAGAGACAGAGTGTGAGCAGGGGAGGGGCAGAGAAGGAGACACAGACTCTGAAGCAGGCTCCAGGCTCCAAGCTGTCAGCACAGAGCCCGACACGGGGCTCGAACTCCCGAACCTCGAGATCATGACCTGAGCCCAAGTCAGATGCTCAACCGACTGAGCCACCCAGGTGCCTCCTAAACCCGTGTTAATTGTGCTGTTGCCTATGTTAGAAGCCAAGATGAATGCCACGTGAGACACAGACCCTGGCTCCCTAAAGGCTTTGTTTTAGCAGGAGAAACATAAAGGGTGTATGTAGCACAGAGTACCGAACACGGTGGTGTCATTTATTCCACGCACGGGTCGTAATTCCGGGCACACCCACACTCGCTGAACTGACAGAGTGTTTTGTTTCTAAAGTTGACCTCTTGTGTCATCCAAGTTTCACTCCTTCTGACCACAGCCAGGAAGCTGGGGGTGAAGCCAGAATTAACTAAAACCCACCCAAAGTGGAGGCAGCCACAGAGCAGGCTGTAGTTGATGGCTTAGGATGGAGTTTGCAGTCCACGAGTCGGCGAGTAGGAAACGCGGCTGCCTTACCGCAGGGGATTTCTGAGTGCGGGATGTAAACATCCAGCACTCCTGAGACGCAGAGTGTGCGTCCTTGCTCAGGTACGCGACCAGGGGGATTACAGGAACTTTCCCTGAACACTTGCACACCTCCAGGGATGCACCCGCCCCCCCCGCCTCATCTGATGGGCTGCACCCTGTGGGAGCAGCCACACTTGGCCACCTCACTAGGACAAGGAGTGACATGAAACTTACTCCCTAAATTATCTTCCGAGACATTTTTGTTTTGTTTTGTTTTAATTTTTTAAACGTTTATTTTTTAGAACAAGACAGAGCATGATGGCGGGGAGGGGCAGAGAGAGAGGGGAACAGAGAATCAAAGCAGGCTCCAGGCTCTGAGCTGTCAGCACAGAGCCTGACGCAGGGCTCGAACTGAAACTGCAAGATCATGACCTGAGCTGAAGTCGGATGCTGAGCGAACTGAGCCACCCAGACGCACCCCCACTTTTTAAGTGTTTTTAAAATTAAAAAAAAAAATTTATTTTTTTAATGTTTAGAGATCTTAAGGAGTTCCCTTTATCAAGGATCTGACCATGCCATCAGGAATAAACACTTGTTAAGAGAATGTAGGCTGACACTACAAGATGGGGAGTTTAGGCAGAATCCTGTGATTTTGAAAGTTGTGGAAACAGGTGAACTAGAAGCAGAAGAAGTCACAAGGTCACAGTGGCAAGCACGGGGGACTGAGAATTAGAAGGCCTGGCCCTAGCTTCTCTGACATGAATCTCCTCTTTCTAGAAATAGGCAGTTCCTCAGATCCCTGTAGTTATATGAAAGGATGCCATGGGAAACCTCTTTCCCAGCTTGAAATACGAATTTACTGAAACACTCTCTCAAGGCAGAAAAAGACTCGTAGGTGACCTCCACAGATCACTTACAACCGAAACGAGAGTTCAGACAATGGGAAGAGTAGATCAGTGGTTGTCAGCGGGACAGAGGAGAGAAGCTCGTCACCGCAGCCACCGACTGATATTTCTTGTTCTTTCTTTTCAGAATCAGAAAGACCCCCTGGCTGTGGACAAAATAATGAAGGACCTAGACCAGTGCCGGGATGGCAAAGTGGGCTTCCAGAGCTTCTTCTCACTAATTGCCGGGCTCACCATCGCATGCAATGACTATTTTGTGGTTCACATGAAGCAAAAGGGGAAGAAGTAGGCAGCACTGAGCCACGCCCCCACCCCAAGAGAGTTCTCCTGAGGGTCTCACGGAGTCGGCCCCGCAGCTCCCCACTCCATGAGCAGATCGGGACCCTCAGAAAATGTATACATAAAATGCAACCCCCTTTTGAGAAGCAGAGAAAGTAAAGGCAGTGAAAGCCAGATCAGCTTTTCATTTTTTATATTGCCTGCATCCCCTTGCCCTCAATAAACGAATTCTTTTTTTAGTTCCTCACTTGAGACATGTCCGTGTCTTCTTCACAAGCGCCTGGTTCCCGCTTCATTCACGAGGAGCCTGCCTGCCCCTGGGCAGCGGGCACACCATAGAGCCCGCAGGCCGGGACCCCTTCTCCACGGAGGCCTGGGGCCCGGCTCCTCTGATCCACCTGCCCTCGTAGACGTGACCTACCGAGGTGCCAAAACTCCAAGGCACTCCTGGAATATACCCTATTTTTATAACTACGGAGCCCAGTTCTGTGTAGTTAAGTCCGAGCCTTCCCAACAGGCACTCTGAACCCTTGAGGTGTCAGAGTCCAGTTTTCACGGCAAAGTTTCAGCAAACTCTCAGGTAGAAATAAATCTGTAAGAGAAGAAGATCAAGACATAGGAGTGTGAAGCTTCAGTAACAACAGCTCATTAACATACACTGAGTTGTCGTGAAAGGTCATGATTATATGGAGATGGCGGGAAAGAGGCCAGCAAAACTCACATGGTGGGGTGGTCCTTCCCTGTTGAAGACGAAGCACCAGTACTGGTGTCTTAAAAACCAGCAAAATATTTCTCCCAGCCCTGTCTGCCCTTATCTCAAGCTCCAGTACAAATGCAGTATGTGCTCTACGCTTCTTAATAACACAATATCCTGTTTTATGGAGAGATGATGTAGGAATTGGCACATGAAACTGTTCAATTAAATAGGTCCGTGAAGATGGAAACACTTGCTTTTATGATTGGACACATCAACATAATTCTGGGGGGAAAGTTCAGTAGAAGGTCATCTACCATCACAAGGAAAAGCGTGCAAAAGGGAACAGGGTAGTCCAAAACTAGCTTTGGGAAAAAGAAATCTGGCATAAAATCAAGGTCAAAGATAAAATTCCAACCATTTAAATTTGTCTCGGGCATCAATGAACAGGCAAGGCGACACACGGCTTTGCAGCTGCAGGACTCTGTCTGGTATACAAACAGGGATTTGTGATTACAAGGTATTAAATGGAGAGGAGCTGGCAGTTGAAGAAAACGACCGCAGGAATGTCGTCCTGTCACAGAACTGGGCCACCAAGGGGGCTGCTGGCCCAGGAAGGGTGTGCTAACTGGTAAGCCATCACTGATGGGCCCAGACCCAGATGCCTGTTTCCCGGCCTCTTTCCACACAGGACTCAGCTCAAGGAGGCGCATCTGATTAGCAGGACCGCAATCCTATCAGCCCTGGCTCTAGGGGAGCCTTGAACCTTAGCAGGAGGCCAATTTACGTCTCCGCAGTGATTATTCTTAATCCTAAAGGGAGTCTTCCAGCCTGTAGGGTAAAGAAACCATGTCTCTACAGAAAGGAGGTTCTAAAAGATAAACTCTGACAGCTACAGGGAATGGAGAAGAAACTGACCCATCACAGTCGAGCAAGCCAATTCTGTGTCTACAGGAACGAGTATGCACCCAGATTTACCCTTTAGCATCTACAACCTGCACCCTGGGGGGCAAGCGTGTTTGCTGAGTGTTATGAAACTGGAGTTGAGGGCACCTGGGTGGCTCAGTCCGTTAAGTGTCCAACTCTTGATTTTGGTTCAGGTCATGATCTCAAACAGAATGATCTCATGGTCTCATCTCGTGAGATGGAGCCCCGTGTTGGGCTCTGTGCTGACAGTGCCGGAGCCTGCTTGGAATTCTCTCTCTTTCCGTCTGCTCCCCCTGGAACTCGGGCACATGTGTGAAATTACAAAAAAAAATTGGTGTTCAATTCACAAATGGGCAAGTGAAATTGTAACACGGAGATACTACTGTGGGCTCAGATGTCTCCAAATCTTTCATACTCTAAACCTCTTTAGCCCAGGAGAGAGGGTTCAGGGGATAGAGCAGAGGAAGTATCCCCTCATGTTCACAGTGTAGGTATGGAGATTCTAAAAAAACTCCCAAGCAATGTGTCATTCCCAGAAGATGAGCCCAGACTCTCTGGCATCCTGAAAAGTACCTAGTGCCAGGGAATGATCTGGGCCACTGTGTGCAGGGTATGTGTGTACATGTTGGAGCTGGTAGGGGAAGGGAGAGTAACACACTTTCCTTTTATTTTAATTTATTTGTGATAGACAGAGAGACAGAGCATGAGCAGAGGAGGCAGAGAGGCAGACACAGAATCCGAAGCAGGTTCCAGGCTCTGAGCTGTCAGCACAGAGCCCAATGCAGGGCTCGAACTCACGAACTGTGAGATCATGACCTGAGCCGAAGTCAGCCGCTTAACAGACTGAGCCACCCAGGTGTCCCTGCACTTTCTTTATGTTAGCCCCATTGCTCAAAACATATAGTTATGAGCTAGTATAAGGAAAATAAAAACAGTACTTCTGGTTCGAAACCCTACATGACTCTCCATGCCAACATAAATACACAGACCCGCAATCTGACCTCATGAAACAGCCGTCTAGGCTTCAGGAGCTGCAGCCTAATGGCTCCCAGAGGGCAAAGCTGTGATTATGCCAACAGCCACGAAGAGGAGCCTCTGGAAAATTCCACTCATTCTGCTACAGGCTGAGTTGTAAAAGCAGATCCCGCCCCTCTCCACACCCAGTCACGAAGAAAGAATGGGTGGTGGTGTGGAATGTCCGTTTGGAGCATGCTACAGAACTGACCCTGAAATACAGCTCAGTTTCTTGCACCCCATGCCTCCCTCCGAGCCCTCTGAACATGAGCCAATTACCTGTGATTTAATACTTTTCTACCCAAGTCATCTCCATGGGAGACCAAGGGCAAGTATATAAACCCTCTCTCTCAACGTGACCAACTTGAAAGTGACTGTTCAAGTATATTCCCCAGCTCTTAACCCCAGAAGGATACTTGTGAAGAGAAAGCCATTCATTTGGCAAATATTTACGAAGGCTATCTATGTGAACGACACTGAGCAAAGTTCTGTGGTGCATAGATAGACACCCACAGTGCCTGTTCATGGAGATTACAATCTGGTTGAAAGATAATAGACAAAGCAGACAAAAACAAAAACAAAAACAAAAACAAACACCACACAATAGAGCACTGGCAACAGTGAGATGTGACAGGCACCCATAGTCACCGTTGATAGGAATGTAATTTATACAGCCTTTGTGGTAGGCAAAATTTGACAATGTGTACCAACATCCTTTAATGTGTTTTCTTTGACCCAATGTCTCTATTCCCAGGAGAATTTATCTTAACAAAGTAACAAAAGATGGTTATAAAGATTCATACACAAAGATATTTGATGCAGCAATCCTTAGAACAGCTAAAATCTAAATACAACCTCAAGGTCCAATAAGTTAAGTATAAACATACCTGGGATGCTATATAACTCATGGAAACCATGACTTTGAAAAATATTAAACAGATGGGGAAATGTCTATGTAAAGTAAAACAGGTTGCAAAATTGGTATACAGTGGGATTCCTTTCTTTTTAAAATATGTGTGTCTACCAACAGGCAAAACACTAAAGGAAATATGCCCAGATATATTTTAGTTTCTAAGGTAGGAGTTACTGGCTGGGAAAACTTGCCTCCAGGAAGAAGTTTATGAGATTATTTTAATTTCCTTTTTAAGTAGGCTTCATGCCCAGCACAGAACCCAAGGCAGGACTCAAACTCACGACCCTGAAATCAGGACCTGAGCTGAATCCAACTCTTGGTTTTGGCTCAGGTCATGATCTCAGGATTCATGACTTTGAGCCCCACGTCTGGCTCTGCTTTAACCAAATGCACCCCCAGGGCGCCCCTGTGTGAGATACTTCTTAAGCATTATCTTATTTAGCCCCTACAATAACCTTGTTACGTTTTATAACATTCATTTTTTTACAGATGGCAAAACCAAAACACTAGTAACTACCCCAAAGACCCACAGAAAGTGGCAATGCCAAAATGTGAACTCAGACATTGTGTTTCTTTCTTTCTATTGTGCAACTGTCTCCAGATGCTACTTGTGTAAATTAAGCATCAAATATATTGTACTATCAAAAGAGTGAGTGATCCTTAGGCTCAGGGCAAGACTAGGCAGAGAAGATCACAGGTAAGAGGTAGGATGCTGTCTGGTCGTTGAAGATTAGAAGAAAATCAGATAACAGCTAATATTTACTGAGCACTTACTATGTTCTAGAGCCTTGCAAGTATTAACTCCTTTGCTCCTCCCAACGCCAACACTTTTATGGTTCCCACTTAGCTGGTGATTTGACCCAGGTGCGGAGCTAGTAAGTGGTGAGGCAGAATTTGAGCCTAGACCATCTATAGTTTTAGCCACTCATCCCTGCCACCTCCCTGGACATAGTAATGATGGCACGAAGGAATCTCCAGGACACAGAGTCCCTGGGAAGTTAGAATGGAGTGTATTCATGTGAGAAATTACACGTAGATGAGATAGAAAAGGTAGGTGATCAATAAATGACAATTAGGAAATAGTAAATGATATGTGAAATGTGGTAAGTGAGGTCACTGGATTAAAAACTCTGTAAATCTAAGGTTTGGGTGATCTCTATTTCTTTGGGAGACAGAAAAGGCCCTCTTGTCTAATGGGGGGTGAGTGACAATAAATATGTCCTTGTGAATGTTCTTCCCACTTTCCTCCAAGACTCACATTCCAATCACATTCTAGCTTACAAAAGATGAATCAGGGTGGGATTTATATTTATCTTTCTAAGAAGCAATGAGAACAAAGAAGAAAGAAAACAAAATCTGACCTCTGGCAAGTGATGCCAAAATGAAAAGAGGGAGAAAATCAAGATAGGGCCACGAGACCTGGGTGAGGAATGTACCTTCGTAGAACACTACCTCTCGTTTCCTATCAAGATTCCCACTTACCTGCAAAACAGTATGTTCACCTGACTGTAGCTACCCTACATATTTTTTATGCATAAAGTGGCAAGATCTGGAAGGAGTTATGTAAAAGTAAAAACGGTGATGTCATTGGGGCACCTGGGCGGCTCAGTCGGTTGATTGTCCAACTCTTGATTTCTGCTCGGGTCATGACCCAAGCTGTGGGATTGTGGGGTTGTGGGATCGAGCCCTGCATTGGGCC